TCTATGAAATACAACTTAATGTTTTCATACATGTCCATGTAAGAATGAAATCAAAGTAGTTATTATATCCAGTGGGTTAACTTTCCACTTCTTTGTGTGTAGAGGATTCTAAATCTTCTCTCCTATTTGAAATATACAAGGCGCTGTTATCAGGAGCAGTCAGCCAACCATGTGACAGAGTATCAAACTTATTCTGCTTGTTTTATGCTAACATTTTGTACTAAAAGCTTTTCCACATTGCTCACATACAAAGGGTTTCCCCACTGTGATTTCTTTCATGGATATGAACATCATTGGGTGTGCTGGAGGCTTGCAGGTTTTCCTTATATTCAAAGGTCTTTTTTCTAAGGTGAGTCCTTTCACTAAGATCAGAGTAGGATTTCCCACACTGATCATATTCATAGTTTTTCTCTCTTGTCTTTGTCCTTGTATTGTTCTGAAAAGACTGGAAATCGCTGCACGGTCTTCCATGTTCATTACACTTAGACAGCTTCTCTTCTAATTCCAAGTACTCGGATGCCTTCAGTCCTGTGTTAGCTATGGTGAGCATATTTAGTGACAAAGGCCCAATCAGGGGCTTTCCACAAGCATCCTGGAGTCCAAAGTAATATTTCTAGGGGCTGGGGAGATGGCTCAGTGAAATAAGTATTTGCCTGGCAAGCATAAGGTCTTGAGTTCAATCCCTGGTACCACCAAAAAAAAAAAAAAAAAAAAGTAGTGGGTCAAAATGTTGGCTGTCCTTGCAAAGTTCTTCATATTGATTCCAATCTTTATTTTGATAGTGCTTTTTTTTTTCGTTTTCGCATTTTTAATTAAAAGTTACACACAGGAGGACTTTATTCCTGCATCTTCTCAATCATTTCTTCCTTGTATTTGCCCTTTTCCTTTCCTACTTGGCGAGACTTGGCTTTCCGTTCCAGGATCTTTTTGCGGTCTTTATCCAGCTTTAGCCTGGTGATAACCACCTTACTGGGGTGAATGCCCACGTGGACAGTTGTGCCATTTGCCTTTTCCCGCTGCACCCATTCAATGTAGATGACATACTTCTTCCTGTAAACCTGGACTACTTTGCCAATCTGTTGACCTTTATAGTGTCCTCGCACAACCTGAACTTCATCATCCTTTCGGATGGGCATAGAGCGAACATTGTATTTTTGTCTCAGCTCTTTGGAAAGAGGAGAAGACATAATTTTCCTGCGAATGTGGGAAGGTGCATTGAAATGCCTTTTACAGTTTTTGCTTCGGTCTGAAGTCACAAAAGGATTAAACTTCATTTTGGCCGCTGCAACTCCAGCGATGGCCGCAAAAGGGTTGATAGTGCTTTTCAACCTCTTTATTTCCCCAGAAATCTTTGTACTCTTCCCTTCCTTAAAATAAAAAAAGAAAATAAATCTTTGTATTCTTCTTCAGCTTCCTGGTTATCCCAGGCTCTTCCTATAGCAGCCATTTTCCTAATACTTTCCTTCATCCCGTCTCTGTAGACCTTCCTTTGGGATGGATCCAGAAAAGCCCACTCCTTCAAGGTGCAGTTCACAGCTGCCTCCTCAAGGGTCACTGTCTCCATGACATGGCTTCAAGGTCTTCCAGAGTCTTTCCTATGTAGCATTCAGCCACTAGAAGTCATGGAAGGTGGCCTAGCAAGTCGGCAGACTCTCAGCACTGTACTCAGGCACGACGCTTTCTTGCATCTGTCCAAGCTTTTGCCAGGCCAGGCAGCACACTGCCAAGGATGGATGGATGGATGGATGGACGGACAGATGGATGGACGGATAGGCAGATGGATGGATGGGCTGGGGGGTGTTGCTAGTGGGGATAGGGAAGACTTGGATTTGCTATGAGTTTTTATTAACGCAAGATTTTAGCTTTCAGTTTTATTATGAAAAACAAGTTTAATATCTAACATTTAGCAAAGAGATGTTATAATGAAAAGCTGAGTTTCTTTTAATGCTGTGCTGTCCCCCTGGCATTTTGAATATGCAGCATCATCTGTTTGTAAAGAATTTTGAAAACACGAGTGTCTTATTTTTCTCTCCTTGCTGAAACAAGACACCTGACAGCCACAGTTAAAGGGGGAAAGTTTGTAGAGTTTCCAGTCCGTAGTCAGCTGGCTCCAGGCAGGGTGGCTTGGCAGAAGAATCAGTTATGGCAAGCAGAAGATAGCAAAGATAAGCAAGCAAGGGACAGTGGCTTTTTGCCCCTTTTGTCTTGTCCAGGACACTCGGGACAGGTAGCACTCACACCCTTAATCCTAGAACTGTTGAGCCTACCATTGGATCATGAATCAGTCCCAATGTCACAGTCTAGATCCAGCCACTTCTGAAAAAGCCCCACCCATGACCTCGCCAGGTTGGGGGGAACACTTAAACACAGGCCATAACAAAGAGCAAGGATATAGATATTTGCTTGGACTGGCTTTGATTTTAGAAGAAGCCTCCACAAAGTAGGAACTACGTTCAGATGCCTTTTTCAGAGCAGGCCGAAAGCTGGCAGTCAGTGGACCACACCTTGAGTGATGGTCAGCAAAATAAAGATGAACCTCAGCTGAGGATCACTGCTGTCGAAGGTTGATTCAGGGCATATCCGCTTTTTTAGTGTTAGCTAATAGATATTTTTTGGCATAGGAATAGATCTGTATTGGGTGCTTCTTTAAAAAAAAAAAACTGTGCTTTTATACACAAAAATCATGAACAGAAAAAAAAATGACTACAGGAAGAAAAAAGCAAAACTGAAAACAGTGGAAGATCATTTTAGGTGTGGCCAGAGTCATTTGGAATAAAGTGTAGTGGGACAGCATTATGTATTCTGTGTAGTGACAGTTTTGTGTGTCACACATCAAGTGTCAGACAACACTTTAATACTAAGCTCACAAATGTTGCCAAATGATGACACTGAAAGAAAAGCTCCTTGACTTGGGAAATGGAAGGAATATCTTCCTCAGTACTTTAGGTTTTGCAACTGTTTCTAAATCATGTGATAGCCTCCAGTTTCTTAAATTTTACTATGCAGAGCAAAACATGGTGAGACCCTCTCTGAAGGGGATTTCATCAAAATGGCCATGTCATGTGCGAGTGATGCCCTATTTCATGATTTCCCACACAAGGATAAAATCACGCAAGGTGCATCTGAGGTGCCACTGAGCAGAAATCCTGGCCAGTGAGGTTAGCAGCTCCCCGCCAGCTTACAAGAGGCAGCCTGTTACTCCATGTGCTTCTCTGAAAGCAGAGGTGCGAACAGTTATCCAAGGCAAGGAGTAATTGTGCATTATGCTGTTGTGACATTGTAAGAAAACAGTTGGTGACACTGGAAAATTTGCCTAGAGGAACACAGGGGACAGACATCTACAATGCTGTGATGGAGGCTTTGTTGTCACAGGACATAAGCCCAGGAAAAGTGACTTCAAATGCTAGGGATGGGCACCTTGCGTGGTAGGGCAACATCTGGTTTCATGCAGCTCTTTTGTTAAAGAAGCAAAGCATCCATTTGTTCAGTTTCACTGTATCATACAAGAGTGCTAAGGAGAGCAGCAAAAAATTAAATAATATGCTCAAAGATGTCACAAAAAAGGTAAATGCATGCTCTTAAGTTTCAATAGTTTCAAGCACCACTTGATGAGGTTCAGGGGCAGTACAATGCTTTACTTATGTTCAATAATGTTGAACTGAAGAGATCTGTGGCCTGCTCAGATGAAATTGGGCTATTTATAATGAAAAAGGACAGGAATATCCACAGCTCACTGATATGGCCTGGATCAACCACCTCATAGTTGTAGTTGTTTTACAGATTTCATACTATGCTTCAGTGTACTGAACAAAAAACTATAATGTGTAAGGAAAACAGCAGAAAAGATGTCTTTGTTTTTTGAGATAGGATTTCACTATGAAGGCTGGCCTTGAACTCACTACATAGCCTAGGATGGCCTCAAACTGACAGTGATCCTCCACCCTTAGCCTCCTGAGCACTGAGATTACAGGTGTGTGCCACCGCACTGGGCTAGGATGTCCTATGTCAAATATTTGAGAGAAGACTGTGGGTTTTGCTGACATATTTTCCAAATCTAAAAATTCATTTAGAAAATTGTACATTTAGAGACAATCCTACAAGCCACCAGGAAACCTCCACAGGATTTTCTAGCATTGTAGTAGCTGCAAAGGAGACCTTTACGAACAGATTTTTACATTTCCTCAAGATGGAAACAACCCTTTGTTTTTTACTTCTCCAGATAAAGCCAGATTGGAAGCACTTTATCTTTCCCGCTTATACTGGTTAGAAATCTGGAAATGGAGCTACTGGAATTTCAAGAAAGCTCTATCTGGAAAAACAAATGATATGACCTGCATGCAGTGTGAGAAGATAAGAGTATAAATGGATAACAAAGGACATCACAGTTGGTAGTTCCGAAAGTGAAATCCTTAAATGTGGAATTCTCTGCCCAGTAATTTCAAGTTGATGGAAGCACGTCAGATTGCTTTCTTATTTGTCTGAATCATCTGACCACTTGTGAGCAGCCATTTTCAGCTCAGAATTTTATCAAACCTCATACAAAAAAACAGACCATCAGATCATGTGAGTGCTGCCTGTGTTGCTCTCAAACTAATAAAGTACAGTGGCACTTCAGGCCATGAACTTGGTTCTCTCCAGGATTCTGGCCACAAAATCACATGGACAAGAACCGATTTACCTTTCCCCATAAGGTGGACATGGCATTTGACCACTGAATTTGCTTTGGTTCTCGTCCAGCTTGGTTTGCAGCCAGAAGTGTGGAAAGAATCAAGTTTGTGAACTAAGGCACCACTTTGCCATGATTGCACCGGTTATCAGCATGCATGCAGCAGCAGAGATCACATTGATTGTGCAAAGCAAGCCAAGCACAAACCTTTACCTTTCATTAAAGGCTATCATTGATAGCTCTGTGACTGTGGTGTTCTTTTTTTTTTTGCCAAACCAGGGATTGAACTCAGGCCTTTGCGCTTAGCCAGGGAAGCGCTTATTCCACTGAGCCCTCTCCCCAGCCCCTCTGTGTTCTTCTTTTAAGGCAAAAGTTGTTAATGCACGAGTTATTTTTTCAAAACTGAAACCTCAGTGCTCAGCTTTATTGCAGGGCTTGCCCTGTGCCATAATAAGTGGGTTTTGGGTTGCAGTGCGGGCACTCAGTCTCTGAAAGTTTTGCCAGCACTCCCCTGAGCTACTGAGCGTCATCCTTGCTCAAGAACATCGTGCAGCCCAGAGTTTCCTCTGCACGCCTCTTCTTTGTGGACCCCAGGCTCCCAGCTTGGCAACAGGGCACTGGGGACAGAGGCTGCAGAGCCTTCTAGCACAGAGAGCAGGGGCAAGGGGCGGGCCTACAGCACTTTCTAGTCTCTGACTCGTTTTTAGAGCCAAGATCCCAAGATCTCCACAGCACTGCCACTAATGCCACTCACAAAACAAACCTCCAACAGTGATTAGAAATTGTCCTACTGATCAAATTCCACCACTCAACCATTTATTGTGTACTCCAGCGGGTCCATGCAGGAGGTCTGACCAGTCAGGCAGCTGGCCAGCAGATGGGAATTAACACACAATGAACTTGAGCCCACTGACCAGGCACGTCTTCTCTTTGGACCCTTGTGGAATCCAGGGCTTTAGTTTTGGAATCATTTGCCTTTTAGTTCAAATCCTTTTTGAAACTGAATGAATTAGTTCCTTACATTCCCGGCTCATCTTCTGTGGAAGTCAGTTACTGAATCTTGGGCCATTAGCAGAATCTTGTGAACCAGAAAAAAAAAAAAAGAAAAAACCTATTCACTGTATAGGTCATGCATAAACAGCTTAACTGAGATTTCTTCTGCTTTTATTTAGTGAGGTTTGGGACATGAGGGGCCATCATGAGGAGCTCATTTTTTGGTCCTCTATAAAGAATTTAAGTTAAGAAATTGTCCAAAGTAAAAAAAAAGAAAAAAAAAAAAAAGACCTAGCAGGAAGTTAACCCAACTTGTGCCCTTTGGGTCCATGCACACATCATCTTGATGGCAGACTGAGAGAGAGCACACTGTCACTCAGTAGTCTCTTACAAGGGCTGGAACAGAGCACAGTCTTCTCCTTGTACACACCACATCTGTGCACATGTACACCAGCTTCTATGAATAGAACTTGCTGTTGCTGACTCTCTTCTCTCGCAACCTGAAATGAAACAGATTTTGCCATCACCAGCAGGGCAGACAGTACAGGCTCTGTGCAGAGCCCTGGAACATCTGGGGTCATTTATGCCTGGATGGCACAGGGATGAGAGCTGCAGGAGGTGCTCTGAGCTCCTGGTAAGACCCTGGAACTCAGATAGGTTCATCCAGCTCATTGCTAAAAAGGGGCAGCAGCTGCTCTGTAGGTTGCTCTCAAGATCAGTGTAAATACTGTAGGGAGGTGCTTGGCACAGTGCTACCCTTGGAGGCTGCCTTGAGCATCTGCACCCAGATAAGGCTTGCTTGGCTGTTCCCTGGTGCATGAGAGATATGAGGTTCCCTGGCTGCCCTTTCAGCCCATCTCCTGTTGTAGCCCATCTCCTGTTGTAGCCCATCTCCTGTTGTGGCACAACCAGAAGCCTCCCCTGGGCAGCAGAATCATCCCTGAGCCCCAGTCTCCAGCCACTGGGACCAGCCTGGAACTTGGTTAGGACTCTTTAAAAGTCAGTGGTCATTGGAACTGTGGTAGGGCAGTGGTGGAGCAGCTGCCTAGTGTGTATGAGGACCTGGATTCCATCCCCAGCACAGTAGCAAAATGGTCATCTAGTTTCACTGTTACATTGACATGTCCTCCTAAGAGAGAAGACAGTTCTCCCTAGGGAATAGGAGGTGCTTAAGATGTTACTTCAGGTTCATTACAGAGCAAAGAGAACCACAATCAAAGACACCAAAGCATTTCTAAAAAAGCATGAGTGGGTAGCGGACTTTCTGGAAGCCTTGCCCTATAACCAGCAGCAGGTGAGGCGACCACCCACCTTCGGTTGCACTTCTCCTGGTATAGCTGGAGCTGGTTCTCATTGACGTTGAACTCTTTGATCAGGGCATCCCGGTTGGCATTGCGCAAGTTCTGATGTGTGTCATATAAAAATAGCTGGTTGTTCAGCTCCTCTTGCCTCCGTCGCAGCTGCCGGCAGGAGGAGTAGAGTTCCTCCTCACACTCCTGGATAGTTGGGAGAGAAACGCCCTGTGAGATCCCTGTGGGATGTGGTATCCCACATGTGTGTGCAGAGGGCAGAGGTGCAGCAACTGGGCTTACCCTAGAGATGCCCAGGCCTATTCTGACTCATGATAAAACCCAAATGTCATATTGGAAGCTGGCCACTGACAAAGTCCTTGCCCTTCCCCATGTTATTTTACCGTGAAGCACTGAACTAATGCAAGGCAGGTTTTGTAGTCCAGTGTAGGCTTTCCCTGGTTTGAATCGCCTTCTCCCTTTTATCTAAATACACAGGTGACCAATAATCTCTGTGCCTAACGGGGGTGCAGGGCCATCCGAGGACAGGCAGGAGGCAGGTAATTTAAGACCTTCTGCGGGCCTCAAAAGGCAAAGTAACAGCTATGACATGGACGAACCCAGGAAACATTGTGCTGAGTGAAAGAGTTGTTTTTAAAGATCACATACTACACCATTAATATGAAATGTCCCAAACAGGGATCATAGAGACAGAAGATTAACGGTTGCCAGGGGACTAGGAGGGCATGGCAGTGAATAAGCACAAGGTTTCTTTCCCCAGTGCTGAAAATGTTCTAAAACTGAATGTGGTGACGGTTGTCCAACTTGGGGTAAGCTAATCACTACTGTGGCACTGTGAAGGGGGACTGTATGGAATATGAATTGTATCTCAGTAGGATTTGTGTCCTCCACAAAACAAAGCCACGTACCATAGATCACATCCACAAGCATGGGCATGTGACAGTTGAGCCAGTAATGATGCCTGTCCCCCACCATCACCACCTCCAGATATGTCCCCAGCCAGTGTGGTTAGAAGCAGCACTTTGGTCAGAGCTCTTGGTATACATTGTCCTGGGAGGAGCCAGGGGAGTGGCTGGATGGATCCAGTTCCCAGTGACCCTACGTGGCCCTTCTCTAGTGCAGAGAGAGTGGGAAATGAGGCCAGGGAGAGGCAGACACCAAAGTGCGACTACGACTGACACAAGCTCTCCCTCCAGTGTGCTTGGGGTCGAGCGGGCTCTGTGAGGACAAGGAGCTGGGGTTTCAGTGAGGAGGGGGAGCATGAGGCCACCTTACATCTCCTGGTTTCAGAGAACAGCTGGCTGCTATGGGAAGGCCAGCGCTGTGGGATGTCAGCCTGTCCTTCGCATCTGCGCTGCTGGTGGACTGTGTCGAGCAAGAGTCCAGGCTTCACAGTGTGCTCTGAGGCACAGATGGGCCAGCCTTGGCTTGGGTTTTTGCAAAAGCAGGAACTCCAGGCATAACCTTGCTTTGCCAATGTTTTTCCACTGTAACAACATAACGGCCTCATGACTGCCCCCCAAGGTCAACGCTGGCACTGAGACTTGAGACAGAGGGGACAGGTGATGGTCCCCCCCCAGTCAAAGCACACAGCTGAGGAGCACCAGCCAGGTCAAGACAGAGGGCAGTGCCAGCTCTGCACACCCTCCAGCTGCCTCCCTCCCCTCCCCAGCCCTTAGAGTTTTGTGATGACCATTTCCAGGCATCCTTTTGAGCCTCTTGTCACATTGAACACAGTAAGAGTTTTGTTTTTCACGTACCTAACTAGAAAACCTTTGGAAAGAAGTTTTACCTAGGCCAGATGTGCTGGGGGCTAGAATTCTAGCTATTTGGGAAAATTGCAAGTTTGAGGAAGCCTGGGCAACAAGGTGAAACTGATATAAAATAACAGTTTTATTTGGCCTTTTTGACTTGGTCTTTATTTGGCCTGTGCCATGATCTTTGTAGCATTCTCTACCTTCAGTTATTTTCTCTTTTATGAGAGAAAAAAAAGGTTTTTAAAAACTTCCCCAGTGATACTACTTTTTCCTGTTTCATGTTGAAATTTTTTTACAGGGGTGGGGTGGATACTGGAATGAAATTCAGGAGTTGTGCTTGCTGGGCAGAAACTTGAGCTGCTCAGCTATATCCTGAGCCCCTCACGCTGAAATTTTAAGTTTATATAAAAAAAAAAAAGGCAGTATTCAGCTTTCTCAGCTATCTCCCAGCACCAGGTTCCCATGTAAATGTCTTGCATGACCACAGAACGATGATCACAACTGAGAAACAAACATGGGGGTGATGTTGAGATACAGATGCACTGAAGCTTCACGATTTTTCCACCCACATCTTTCTCAGTTCCATCATCCACTCCAGGGTCCCACCCTACACTAAGCCGTTGCACTTCCTTGTGCCGCTGAGCTCCTTAGCCTTCCCTTATCTCTTAGGACCTGGACACTGTGGCAGAGTGGCCTTGGGTTACTTTGTGCAGTGCCCCGCCGTTCATTTTGGTCTGGTGTATCCTTTCTTGGTTGAGGCTACTCAGTCTTGGTAAGAATGTTGGAGAAGGGACGTGCCCCTCTTGGTGTGTTACAGTGGGAGGTACAGGATGTGCTTGTGTCTCACTACTTGTGGTGCTGACATTGATCATCTGGGTAAGGTGATGTGTTCTGGGTTCCTCCTCGGTAAAGCGGCTATGCTTCTAATTAACACGCCCCTCGGAGGAAGCTACCTTGGAGATAACGCAGCTGTCCCATTGCCCTGGATTTCACCCACTAAGCTGAGCCTCAAGGGTAGGGCTGACCTCCAGCACTGGCATTTCCTCCTGTCTCCTTCTATAGTCATCAGAATTCTTCTGTAAGGAAGAATTCTCTTATTGTTTGAGGACAGATATATGTTTTATTCCATGGGTTAAAAATTCAATATAATCTATGGACTTTGTTATTCAAATTGCTCTGGTTGGCTCCTGTGTCTGTCTCACAGGCCCCCTCTCAATTTTGTGATGATCCAGATTCACTCATATCATAACATCCAGGTCTGGTTTTAATCACTTGTCTAAGGACTCCTGGTTCCTCCTACTGGACAGTGACATTTAGAAACCCATGTCTAGGTGCGTCGGTGTGCTCACTGCTCCTGGGGGGCCACTGGAACTTGTCTCTGAGCAGACAGCAAAGATATTTATTTTCCTTCTTTCTCAGTGTGTGTACAGCTAATTGTAAGTTCACACTGATTCTCCTGATTCCAGTCATATGTTAATTTGAGAAGGGTTAGTGTAAATTTGTAGTGGTTCAGGTGTTGAATTGTCTTTCAATAGGACTTTATGCTTTGCCTTCCATAAGTCCTATGTCTTTCTTATTTAACTTGCTGCTAAATGTATCATAGTCCTTATCAGTATCAGTGGACCTTCCCATCTGTTCCTGCCTCCCACCCCACATTTCCATCTGTCATTTGTAGAAAAGAGAACTGATTATATAAATAGAAAATAAATATCAATTTTCTAAATTTTTGAAAACATGTAATCGCAATTTGCAAATAAAGATCAATGCATTTCCCCCACAGTTGATGCTACTTGGTTGCATTTGTGGGATGTAATGATTAATGCTTTTCCTTCCCTTCATCCATTGTCTGTCCCAGTGTTAAACTCTCCTTGCACTCCTGGGAAAACTACTTAATTGTGTTACATCATGCTTCTGCAAGTAGCTGAAAATGAGGCATTTTTGTTCTTCTGCTTCACCTCTGTGTCTGTGACACTGAGCTGTGGTTGCATGCAGTGGATGGAGAACGAGGATTTTTCTCTGTAGCTTGTATTAATGTGAAAATTGCATGGCTTCCAGACAATTTCAGAATCTCCATTTTCCTACTGACCTCAGTGGAGTAAAATCAGAATTATATTCTTGAAATTCTAACAGAACTCAGCTAAAAAGTCATCTAGATATAATATTTGCTTTATCTAATAGGGGTGTTAGCACCCTTCCAGTGACTCCTATAGGACCTTATCTCTGACTTTTCTACTTTTTCTCAGAACAGTTTTGGCCCACTTACATGCTTTAAGGCCATCATCCCTATGTGTAGTTTATTAACTGGGGCTCAGTGTCCTTTCCCATATTCTTAGGTGCTTTTGCATGGGTGTTCTTATATTTAAATAGGCAAAGGATTATTTGATATTTTTTTATTAACCATGATTTTTTTAAAAAATAATTCCTGTATTGCGTTTCATTCAATTGACTTTCACCTCTAGCTTTTCTCACTGCTGGTGTTCTAAAAATCTTAGAATGAATACTTAGTGTGCGAGTCCTTAGCACGTAGGCTCTTGCAGGTCTTACGTCAACTAAACAGAAGCAGGCCTCAGAGAGATCACAGATTTGACTCAAGATCATTATAATAAAGCAGGCATCATGGTTTTGGTTTCTCAGGGCTTGAAAGTTATATTAACAATATGCTATAATGTATTGGGTATTAAATAGTATTATGTCCAAAATCAATGTGTATATCTTAATTTAAAATACTTTTGTGCCAAAAAGTGCTAATAGTCACTTGTGTCTTCAGCAAACCATAATCTTTCTTGTACTGGAAGTCTTGACAGGGCTAGGTAGATAGCTCTGTGGTCCAAGCACCTGCCTGGCAAGTGGAAGGACCCAGGTTCCATCCCCAGTACTACATGCCATTCAGGCCAGGTGTGGTGGCGCACACCCGTAATCCCAGCACCAGGGAGGCTGAGATAGGCGGATCAGTACAAGTCTGAGCTGTGCAGTGAGACCCTGTACCAATAAATACATATTTTTTTTTCCAATTTAAAAATAAATAATTTAAAGTTTTTAAAACCAATCTTCACAGCTGCTGAGTGACCAAGGTGGAGGCTGCTAAAGGTTGGGGTGACTGCGGCGACTTCTTGCAAACAGAACAGTGACATTTACTGAAGCATGAGCTGCTATTTGAAAACACTATTCCCCTACTAGAATTCTCCCAAGTTGGACTTTGCCCTGTCAAGCCCTCCCACTGCCCGAGAAACCACTCCCATTGCTTGGGTTCTCTGTGCAGTGTCTGAAGGGCGTTTTGTGCACAGAGGGGCAGCGCTGGTTCCCTCCCCAGGTAACTGAAGGACGAACCCCAGGCCCTGCGGCAGGCATCCCACCTCTGCTGTCTACTTCCTCATGTGAAGGTATCCAGGTGGATTCCAGAAGGTGCCAACCAAGCAAAGCCCTGCTCAGTTCCTGCAGCCAAAAGACCAACTTCACTGGCAGTTGAATTCTCTACAGGAAAGCCAACAGCATGCGAACACAGGACGCTCATCCAGGGGCAGGACTGAGCCCACATCACCCCAATGGGGGCCAGAACCAGAGCCTCTTAGCTTTGCCAAAGAGAACCTGAGGGACCACGGAACTTCCCAACCGAGGCCAAGCTTTGGAAATACTCAGGACATTAGACTAGCTACACATCGCAGAAACACATGCTGCGTGGATGTGCATCTGTGGGAGAGCACGCCACAAAGATCCCAAGGCTCAAGGATTGCCATATGCAGATCTTCAGACATCAAACCCAAGCCCCAGCCACCCGCAGCCTGCTCTGCTCCTCCTAACCTTTCGTCCTGATCGCAGCCTTTATACCATGCAGTGAGGCAAGACCTTCCTGAGGAGTCTGCCTAACCAGGTAAACTGAAGGGGAGGCTAAGAATCTTTAAAGCTGTGGTCAAACAAAAAGAACAAAGAGGAAGGCCCCTCCAAGGCAGGGAGCTGCAAGAGGGAGTCTGCTAGAGGAAGCCCCTTCCTGGGCCAGGGCCTTGGTGAGTGTGCCCAGACCTTTTGACAGGATGACCAGCGACCAGAAGCTTCCAGAGACATGATTTTGTCTAGAAGGTCACCACTGACCTTCTCCTGGCCACATGAGACAAGGAGAAACCCCCAGGGCCCAGCACCCTCTCTGACTGCATCTCCTACTCCCAGAATTTCATGGCACTCTCCAAGGAAGAACAATGCACAGAGGACAAGCTGCAGGGCCTCTAAGGAATCAGCAAACAGTCATTCTTCTTTATAATGTCTTAGTCCTCATGGGTTGAAGGTCATGAGGCAATAGTACTCAATCCATTGCCGCTCACCCAGCAAGCTGGTGTTTTGCCACTTACCAGGACTGGCCGCATCTCACAGAAAACCAGGAGGGAAGCCAGCTCGATGTCCTCACTGTACCCATTCTTCAGAGGAACAGATCGGAACCCTGCAGCAGAAGGGAGGGAAACACAAAGGCAGGTAGGTGATTAAGGCAGAGCTTAGCTTTCTGGAGATGTCCGGGGACCCTGTGCAAGAGGTCAGTGCACCCCATGTGGGGGCTGCTGTTCTGCCTTAAGACAGGTACATGCACAAGATCAAGGAGCGCAGCAAGGAGCCTTCTTACAAGCAGGGTCACACAGGCAGGGCAGGTAAACTGTCTGCTATCTAGAATGACAGTGATTCTATGAAACTGAAGCCCACAGAAACTGCATTGAGTTTCCTGTGAGTGTGGACTGTGGTTCAGTTCCTTAGGCACTGATAAGGCCAAAGGACTTAAAAGAGGGGCTGGAGAGATAACTCAGAGGTATAAGCCCCTGCCTGGTAAGCACAAGGTCCCCAGTTCAATCCCAGGTACCACATGCTGTCCCAGTCCACAGCCAGGCATGGTGGGGCATGCCTGTAATCCCAGCACTAGGGAGACTGAACCAGGAGGATCACTGTGTGAACTGCATAGTGAGACCCTGTATCAAAAAAAAATTTTTAAAAGCCACTGCTAAGGCCAAAGGACTTAAAGCAGTAATGAGTCTTCACACCCATTTCCTCTGCTTAGGACCAGGAAGCATGTGGCATCACCAAAGATTTCCAATCTCCTTGCCCCTGGCAGTTCATGCAGATTCAGTCTTCTGGCTCTGGAGCCTACTCCTTCACAGTTAGCACCTGATTCTTTACCTGTTTCTTTTTATTTTGGGTTAAGAGGGGAGAACTGAGGTCAAATCTCCGACGCCAACTAAATAAAGTTTAAAGGCACATGACTCCTTCCCATCTGATTGTGCTCCCTGTTCCAGATCGTTGTGAACAGTGTCTTTCCCAAATTAGTCTAAGAATCTATTGGCATTTCCTTGAAATCACAAGTGAACAGTGCCTTCAGGTTTCCATGGGACACTGGGCTCTTAGCCATCCATTCTTGAGAAACTTACCTGTCTTGAAAGCTTTTTTCTTACATTGCATCTACTGCTTTTCTTGGAAAAGCAGTGCCCAAAATATGGACACACACATACACCATTTCCTGGGTGCCTTCTTATATTCAAGTCTTGACTCCATGCTCTTGTTCAGAAGATTCTCTATCCACTGATGTCCCGCTGTATCAGTACCTCCCAAATCTCTGCCTTTCCACTGCTGCTGGAGAGGAAAGTGGCCCCTGCACAGCGCCAAGCCTTCTGTCTTTTTCTTCCCCAAATTCAGATAAGGCTGTATTATATTTCTGCTTAACAAGGGGTATAATATTTGCATTCCACTTCTTAACCACAGTTCTCCCATAGCTGAATTTGTCTCACATTTTATAGTTTTTCAAGTGTGCAGCAAAATGAAAAGAAATGACACTTAACACTTACATACTCCTACCTGAGGCCACCCACCTTCTACTGAATATGCCAGCATATTATGCTGGCCATTACCTGAGCCCAATGTTAGGTAACATTGTCCCTCTTCTGATGTAAAATGTACACATAGTGTAATGTAGGACCTTCTACTGTTAACTTGTCTGTGCCCACTGTGGATGTCTCGGTCTTTTTAGCAGAGTGAGCTCATGGGCCCTGCAATTCCTGGAAAACCAGACAGCACTATCCTATGATTTTACCATCGAGTGACAGGTTGTGGCATGAACCTCGCAGGTTACGCTCTTCCCGTACGACTT